TTTGTATGTTCCTTATGGGATTCTGTTTCTAAGCATTCATCAAAAACTCTTTCAAGACAGACTTAAATTGTCATCATAAGCTTTTGTTCAGCTTGCACAGCTATGACTGGTGATGATAAAGAGGCTGTTCAGAGAAAGAAAAAGGAAGGAAACACCTGTAAACCGAGCCTATTTAAATAAGTAGATAATTTTGTCTCTTCATGGTTTGTTTCTGTCAGCGAGGCAGCCCTAAGGTGTGTGCTTTCTGGACCTGATACATATATGCATCTGTCTTGCAAATGGCTTTTTTTCCCTGTGTCTTTTTCRGCTACTTTTTAAAAGAACATAAAAGAAATTTATGACAGAAACAGTAGAGTTCAATTTGATGCATAAACATAGGTTGTTTTATCTCTCACTTGTTAGTGGAGATCCATTGAAACAGTCAGTGGAACACAGGAAGTGATTCATCTGAGCAGCCATGAGATGTGGGTTGCATTTGGGTGGGCTGCATGCTCTTTGTGCTCTGTTTGCTATGGATTTTTTCTCCTAAATGGATCCCAACCAGCATCTTTTGGGAAAAACCTTGTAGGTCTGCTTTATATCTTCCAACCAGAGGATACAATGACCAATCTCTACAGCCCATTAAACATGATGCTCTCACTTGTCCAGCAGACCCTGTCCATATGGAATCTGTTTCCAACAGTCTTGCCTGTAGCATTGGGGCACATGGGTCCTTTTGTGCTCTGGGCTCATTGATAGCATGGCCTGCAAGTCTGACCTTTGTGCAGCTTTTGCAGACAGTAAGTGAAGAAACATGTACATGATTATGATGCCAATAAAATCCCTTGTTTCTGTGATTGGGTTTTCAAATCACTAATGTGCCCTGAATGCTTCTTTATGAATGGCAGGCTGCCTATTACTCAGCCCTCTACTTTACATTTAAGACAGAAAGTAAACTTGCCAATTCATGTGCAATGAAGGGTTCCTAGCAGTGACCCTGTGTTCATTGCACCAGGCAGTGGTTTTGCTCTCCCTTTTGAAACTCTGGACTTTGGCTTGAGATGGGCTAAATGAATAGCATGGTCATGCAGCTGGACATCTGCTTGGCTCCTCAGAAAGAGGGGGATCGGGTCTTTATGTCTGAGAGTTACCTATGGAGTCAGATGTGGTGCCATGTTCTGATGCAGGCAGGGAGCCTGAGTTGCTTTACTCCTAAATCACTGTTYTTCAAAGCTCATATTTTTCAAACATTACTATTAGTTCTTAACTGAGTGGTAGCAAAGTATGTTTGTGAACTGCTCCATAAAGCGTAGTGGTCTCTCTCCAAGCTCCAGATTTCTTTTTTCAGGCTGACATCAGCTATGACTATGCCACTACCATATGCAAATTGGTTTTATCCCTCCTTTTTCCTAGGARACAGATTGAGGGCTCATCTCCAGTATTTCCTCAGACTCTGAGCTAGTGCTTTGTCTCTCTGTTAGTACCACATGTCTGAGGACTGCTGCTTCTCATCTACTGCTAATACCAAGCTCCTTATTAATTACCATAATAGGAGACACGTGTGATGATTGTTTTTTTTCTTAAGGTGCTTCTCACGTCCAAAAAATGGCTCTGTTTTAACTGTTAGGACTGTTACTGTATGTAAATATATTTTTCTCTTGGCAACCACAATGAAAATCTTAAAAAAGTAAAATACAAAAAAAAAAAAAAAAAGCCAAACCAAAAACATCTCTCGACAAACATCTCTCGACAACTTCTTTAGCAGTTTGGTGGTCCTGTCAGAAGGAACAATGGCATGGATGGCATTCATCATTTCTTCCTGTAGCATAGCTGGAAGAGCACTCACAGTTTGAAGGAGATGTGTGTTCAGTCTCCTGCATTGGGAGGATTTCAGCCGGCATCCCAGGAGAGGGCACTACTCGAGGCACTACTCCCTGCAGGGATGAGAAAGCACCTCAGACTCGTACTGGCAGGCTTGTGCTCAGTATARACAATGAGRCATTTGATAGGACAGAAAGTGCAAGCTAGTTCTTCTCATCACAAAACAAGACTTGCAGCAAGAAGGATTTGAGGCAGGATTTGAAGAGSAAGTCTGATGTCTTGAGGTACCATTAGTGCTGAGCTATAAAGCAATCACAAATGGATGTTTGTAAGACTGTTTTACCTCACCAAGGTAAAAGACCTCTTGTCTAGAGATACCTCATTCTTCCACTGTCTGCTTACTTCTGATTTAAAATAACCTAACCAAAACCCACAAACAACCCTAAAACCCACAAAACCCAACCAACCAGCCCCCACCAAGAAAAGAAATTACTCCACCCCATGCTASCCCCATCCTTGTCCCCCCAAAAAAGGTGCACTATATCAACAGAGGATTTCAAGAGCCTCTGTTGCAACCCTGCAATATTATKGCAGAGGACACCTGCCATTTTGTCCAATGACAATCAGACTGAAGAAGATGTTGGATATGACTCTTCTGCACCGTTAGTGAGCTCTCAATCAAGTAAGTAAAAAAACTACTGCTAGCAGTGTTTTGAGAATTTAAACACAGTTCTTTTCTAAATTTTACTGAATTTGAACTGACCCTGTATTGGTTTTGTTCGTGTCAGGACCAGATTTGCCACATGCTAACTGATTTTCTCATGTCCAAAAGCAAGGCAGCCTTYAGCAAATGCATTTTTTTTAGTACTATTGTTCTCTTTATCTCTATTGATGTTGTGACCTTGAAGTTTCAGGAAGACAGAGAAGGCTGACCAATAGAGACTCCAGTGAGGGAGTGGACGTAAAGGACGAGGGATCTGGTTTGGGCTTGTATCCAATTATTACAATACATTTTTAAGGCTATTTTTTACTAAGGAAGTAAACACTTACTGCTGTATAAAGGTTATAGACCCACCCRTTCTTGGAAGTTATGTACAGCTTATCCTGAGTGACATCAGTGATGGATCTGTTTTGTGTGTGTATACAATTCTGTGACTAATGACAGTAATTTTGTGCCAAAGCTTATTAAAAAATGTCTTAGTTTTTTTCAAGAAACTCTTGTTTTATACGGAGCATTTGGATGAATACCAATGGTTTTTAACAAATGGGTAAATTGCAGATCTATTAGGCCATAGCACTGGTTTAATCCCTGGAATAGAGTTTGAGTCTTAAAGGTCGTCATTAACCAATATTCTCCAAAACAAACTGTCAACTTCAGAACTCTTTCCGTTTGAGTTTTTCAAGAGTCTATTTTCTTTTTAGATGTTGGTAAATGTGAACTTTTATGTTACCTGGTTTGTGCCCTGAGTGGTCTAGTAGCAAAAGAAGAATCAAGAAAAAACGCTGCTGTAATCCTCTATAGTCTATAAGGAAAATAATACAATGTAGTAGAGATGATCTTGTCTCTGAGACGGTCAGATCCAGATTTATAGGTGCATTGCCCCTTCTGTGTTTGTATCSCAGCACGGTACAGGCAGAGTAGTTCTCCTGATCAATCTGTGCATGATGCATGTTATCAACAGTAGGACAATTCATCTGGTTACYGAGCTTGTGTTTTAAGGACAATACAAGAATCCTTGAGTGAATTTCCAGGAAACCTGCCAAAACTGCCTAACAAGGATGGAAAAATCAAACCTTACAACAATACTCAATGATGGGTTTATGGGTTTTTACTCATGAAAAGGATTGAATAGTGATTACTGGACATATACACATAGGTCTGGCTGCATGATCTTCAGTATTATACATAATAATAAACACTGTAATTGGAAATCAAACTTTTAACATAGAATCTCAGACATGTTGAAGCAAAGAGTAGTTAAAACATTTCACAAACACCTCTTTAAGAAATACTTTAATACAGCTTCTGCCTTGTCTCTGCAATAGTCTTGCCTGAGCAACTGTATTTGTTCCCTCTGATATTAAAGCTCTGAAAACCCATTAAGGCTAGCATGTTAACCCATTAAGGCTAGCATGCTAGCATTTGTTAAGCAGTCTCTACAGACATGGCATTGTAGCAAGTGCAATGAAATGCTCTCTCTGTCATACAGGCTGACCCAAGATGATAACAGGGATGAAGCTATTTTGTTGAGATCRTTCTTATCTCATGACTCCCCCATAATTTTGACTTTACATGTGAAACACTTCCAGTGTTTTGTATCAGACTGCCTTGCCTTCTGTTGAGAAAGATGAATGATCTGTTGTGTGTCAGTGTTGTGATTGAGTTTCCTAGTTGTTTCTGTTGTGCTTCCAGAGAGCATTGTTAAAGTGTACAGATCYTATACTTGAAGGAATGCAGTTTTCTTTCGTGGGTTTCTTTCTGTAAATCCCACTCAGTGAATCTCCTTTAAAGCAGAATTTGCACAGCAGATCAAGTTGTTGAGCATCTTCATCTAGCATGGAAAGTCAAATACAGTCCAATTCTTTCTCTGTGCTCTCTGCTTTAGAAAATAACAGCTGCTTCCAACTTGCAGCATGCACTAAATTTCCAAGCGCTTTCAGCTAGTTTTGCAAAAACTTTGRTTTGTGGGAGGAATTTGAATGGGATGTATGAAAAAGGCATTAAGCCTGGGAAAATATACTGAACAGTATAATGCTGCTGTAGAAGGAAAAAATCTGCTTACATCTCCATTTGTATGACTACTTCTAACAGAAAAAATTGAGTGATTATCAGTTACRATTTCTTTGAAACCTTTAATAATAAAGAATGTATTTAGGAGTGTTTTCTAGCTAGGTGTTTAGGTGTTATTCTCATTTTGTGGAAAACCATAATGATTCTGAAAAGCTGTATGCTTGAATAATTTTCTCTCTAATTTATCTTGCCTCTATTTTAAAAGAGACAAGCAGTTCCTTGGACTGTTTATTAACTTATGGAAGTCAAGAAAAATGCTGCATAATTTAGAAGAAAGTTTATTCTTCTTTGTTACTATAGGCTACTTTATACTGTATACTTGATAAAATTACATGTGGGAAAGGAAACCAAATGTTTGAGTTAAGAAAAKAGAATTCAAATTCCTTTTACCTCTGTTTCTTTCTCTCAGGTGGAAAGACATGACATGAATACCCTGAGTTTACCACTTACCATTCGCCGTGGAGGTTCTGATACCAACCTGAACTTTGATGTACCAGATGGGGTCCTAGAATTTCACAAAGTCAAACTCAGTGCCGATAGCTTGAAACAGAAAATCCTCAAGGTTACAGAGCAAATCAAGGTTGAACAAACAGCTCGAGATGGAAACGTGGCTGAGTATTTGAAACTGGTAAACAGTGCAGACAAGCAACAGGCTGGGCGCATTAAGCAGGTCTTTGAGAAAAAGAACCAGAAATCTGCCCACTCCATTGCCCAGCTGCAAAAGAAGTTGGAACAGTATCACAAAAAGCTCAAGGATATTGAAAATGGATCTTCCAAAGCTACCAAGGATAATTCCAAAGATAACCTGAAAGATGTTCAACATGGAAAGTCTCGTATCACTGGGCATGGAACAGAGAGCAGCAAGTCGGGTCTGCCGGGTGTATCTTTGACACCACCTGTCTTTGTTTTCAGCAAATCTAGAGAGTTTGCCAACCTGATCCGGAACAAATTTGGTAGTGCAGACAACATTGCTCATCTCAAAAATTCCTTGGATGAATTTCGTCCAGAAACAAGTTCTAGAACCTACGGGGGCAGTGCCACCATTGTTGCCAAATCAAAATATGTTAGTGATGATGAATGCTCAAGTGGGACCTCCGGATCAGCAGATAGCAATGGGAATACTTCCTTTAGTCCTGCTGTGGCAAGTACCCTGGACAGCCAAGGAAAGCTTTCAATTATTTTGGAGGAGCTAAGGGAAATCAAGGAGACACAGTCCCAATTAGCTGATGATATTGAGAATTTAAAAACCCAGTTTAAAAGAGACTATGGCTTTATTTCTCAGATGCTACAAGAGGAAAGATATAGGTATTTATTTTTAACTGTCCTCTTGAAATTACTTTTGAATGAGTATAGAAACTATTTGGAAAGTGTGTGTGAGAGAGAGAGATTTCAGAAGCATGAGGAAAAAATAATTCAAATTAATATCTGGTTCCAACATGTCTAATTCCTTCCAATGACTGAAAATACACATAGAATATTTTTTGCCAAATAGTGTACTGTCCTTTGCCTTTTGTCAAAGGCTGACCAGAAAACTCTCTYCTCTTTCATGCCTTTTATGTGACTTATGTGAATACTGCATATAGGAGAAGCCAATGGTTTTGTGACTGGTGGAAGAATTTTCATCTAATGTGGCTCCAAAAAGCTAATCAGAACTGACTTACTGCTGATAGGTACACCCTTGACTTCTGAGGACCTTGTCCAAATACTTCTCCCACCCATTGCTATCTTGTGGATGCAATGTCACCTTGCACCTGGTGTAACACACAGCTGTGAGATGTAGTTTTAAGTGCTGTAGCATAASTTTGTCTTGCGTTTGTTAATTGACACCTGATTCCCTTATCATCCACTGTGAGAAGTGGATGATATGTTTTACAGAGGACTTGCACCTGCTGTACCTATATCCCATATTTCCTATGGCTTGTTAAAGTGACAGYCAATTCTTGAAGTCTTTACTATGTTAATGGGCAAAATCTCAGTATGAAGGGCAATATTTCATGTTTCTTTTGTTTATACTTCTTGAAATACAAGAAAAGGCTTGACATGGTAATATAGGGAGGAAAGTACAGTGAAAACAATCTACTGACCTCATGATTTGGTTTCAGGAGAAAGCAGAGCGGCCTTTTCTGTCAGGCCACTGCCAATAAAATCTCAAGCTTCCTGCCAYCCATTTCTAGACAATTTTACCTCGATCATTTTTGTGCTGACTGCAGTGTTTGTCTGTTTGTATGTTAAATTAAGTGACAAACTCACAAAAAAAAAGTTCTAGTTTCCTGATGATTGACTTGAACTGGTTTACCATACAGAGGCATGCCAGAACAGACTGTACATAAATGGCACAATCCTGCAGTTGTGTGTGAGAGAAAATGTATTTTTCCTGTCATTACTGGTGGGCTGTTAACTGGCTCAAACTTACTTATGCAACCATATCTTCTTGTCTAAATGAAGAGTGAAAAATGTGAGTTGGATATCATTAGACACTATTTACAGTTCATATAATTTGCCAGTGATGTACAAATATTTGCTTTTTAACACCTATTGCCAGCAAGAAATACCCAGAAAAGGCTTGCAGATTGCTGAATTAATGTTTATGGAAAGTTTGCAAAGTTTTTACTGATTTCTATATGTACTTCATAATGCTAGTCAGATAATTTCATTGTACTGTGAGAATTTACCTTTTAAAATGTGTAATTGTTTTCATGATTTAGCCTTACTTGAATACAAGGCACTAAATTTAGACCTCTTTTCCTAATAAGATACGAAAGACTGGAAGACCAGTTAAATGACCTCACTGATCTTCATCAACATGAGACAGCAAACTTGAAACAAGAGCTAGCCAGCATAGAGGAGAAAGTGGCATATCAGGCCTACGAGCGATCACGAGATGTTCAGGTACTTATTTTCCTTATCATGAACCTCTAACATTCATAGAAATCCTGTACCATGAAACACCTGCATCTTTTTACATCTTTGTAAAGAAAGAATCTGGGGAAAGATTTAAGCCCTTGTTTTATCTGTTTTAAGGTGAAAAGCCAGCACATTGAATCAGTGACAGTCTCCATTTGTTTCACCAGATTCAGGATTTTTTTGGAATTGATGGAATTGATAATATAGCCTAGGCAGACTTGTGGTTGTAGAAAGGCCTGTTTTAATTTCTTGCACAGAGGAGGAAGGAATCGCATCTTCTTGTATTGTATAAAATACCACTTCTGACAATGTCCCAACACGGACTTCTTGCTCAGCCTTTCTCCAATATGTAGTTTCATCACTGGCAAGGTTTATTATAAACGGAACTTAAGGTAAAAATTAAGAGAGCTAATTTATAAATAGATTTGTAGATTTGCCACTTATAATTAAAGAGTTTTAAGCTGTGGTCACAACAACCTGTGTAATCAAATCTGTAGGGTATGTTCACCTTAGTGATCAGTTGTAGTCATATCTAACTTCAATTAAAAGGCAATAATAATGTCTACAAATATGTCCTGACACCATGTAGTTATATATGTATTTGAATATTTACATATAGGCACTTACGTAATGTATAATATTTCTATTCAAAGTCTGAGCAAGTGGTGAAAAAAGCTATTCATGAACAACTGAGGATTGCTCAAAGACTGTCTTCATATTGGATCAGATCGTAAAAGAACCTAAATCCTGTATACAMGTGTGCTCACATTTCTGAACACAGAGAGTGCAGGCAGCTGGATAATCACAGTTGCCTAAATGTTGTGGGAGTTAAGAAGTTCCTGGCAAGAGAGTGGGAAAGGGATGGTACTGAATCTAAGCACATCATAGGTTCCTTTGTACATTTAAAGAAGAAAGGGTGTCTCAGAGATTTAAAGAAAATAGGACTAATTTCTGTGAAGGCATTTGGATTTTGTAAAAACATAAAGTTGTCCAGCAGAAGAGCTGTGAAATATTTGCTAACTCATTAGTAGAATCATGGAGAGAGCTCAGACACTTTTTTTTAAAAGACTCCTGGAGGGGTATCAGAGACTTCTGATTGAAGTGCTACACTGATATAACCTTGTTTCTTTTGTCTCTGTACAGTTGGGCCCATTTAAACCTATCTCTCTGGGGGTTTAGAAAATAAGCTAAAATAGAGTAAAAGGATTTAAGCTGTGGATATTTTGAGCAACAAGGTAATTCTGTCACTAAAGGATGTACAGATCCTTTTAAAGGCATATTCAGCCTCTCAATGCAGAGCTGCAGGTATCAGACTTTTGCAGCTGGACTTTCTCTAAAGCAGCACAAGACAATTTGAGAATAACTTAGTGTTGTGGGTTTAAACCCGTTTTTTCCTGGCCAATGCACCAAGAATGGTTTGAACTGGGCCRAAAGCCAAAGCACCCAACGACGTTCCCTCCCCCCCACCGGAGAGGCAGAAGGGAGAGCAAAAGCCCAATTAAGACTAAAATTTATTTTTAGATAAGATAACATAATTGAGACAAAGATACATATATGTTCCAGAAAATGGTCAGATAGGCTGAATAACTTAAGTTGCAAAATAGATTTATTACTAAAAACTACTAAGAAAACTACTGCACCAGGGAGGGTAACAGAAATAGGGAAAAATTTACAAGGAGAAAAAAATAGAAATGGACATTTTAAGACACCTGTTATTCTTCCCAGGGACCTCTTTCTCAGGTGGCCCCTCTCCACCCCCACCATGCCTTCCCGTGYGCAGAGGGGGACAGGGATGAAAGTTTTAACATAGATCAAACTACTCATTACGGTTGTCATCMAKCAYCAYAGGAGAAGAGTTCTTACAGCTCCAAGCTGTGGAAATTCTTTTCCCAAGAAACAGTCAGTGTATAACTGCTGGTGGCAAGGGATTCTTTTTCTTTACCTCGTGAGAGAAAGAAAAACAGTCTTCCAAAGCTACTCTCTCAAATTTCCTGGCAGAAACACAGCTTCTTCTAAGCATCCACTGCTTCAGATGTGGGGCACGGGGGCACTTCTTCCCCCCACAGAACACAATTTCTTCTGAGTGCTAACTCGCTTCAGATGGGGGGGGGGGGGGGGGGAGTGGGCAAGCCTCTTCCCCCTTTTTGGCTTACCAAAGTCCTCAAAGGCCAGGTTTTTCTCAGAGCAAAGTCACTTTCTTTTCTATACAGGTCTCCCATTGAAGAAATAGTTCTTTCAAGAACAGCTTGTTTTCTCCATGTTCAAGCGCCACAGCAACAGCACAGCACCTGTCTTCTTACTGTGATCTTGGGTCTTCATTTTTTTTCTTACATCTTCTCACCCTCTTTCTCTGTCCTCCCTCGGTGAATGATACTAACAACCTGAAAACTAAATGGCGGCCGCTCTCTATCATGTTTTGAATTCTTCTTAAGTACAAGACCATATGTCATCACAGAGGTGTAACTAGMCTGTGCAATTGGCCCAGGCCTGATGAGCAGCCTGTCCATCAACCTCAGAGCCATAATGGATTGGTTCTAAAACACAGGGGCTTCTTTTGCTGGGGAAGAAGGAGCAAGCTTCTAGAACTTAGTCACAGGAGCCATCTTTCTGGTTTTTTGACCCCATCCCCCCACCACCAAAAACCGRACCAAGAAAAACCAGGACATTTAGAGTGAAAGAAGGACCAGGAAAATTCTTTAGTGTGTGGTGGAAAACATGCATGAAGCATTACAGACTTTTTGCCACCCATTAAGAACTGTCTTACATACTGTTACTAATTTCTAGAGCAGTGAAAAGGAAGCATTCTTGTGTAAGGCACTGTGCCACATTCTCTGTGGTGACCTTGGTGCCTGGCCAGTCACTTGGTAAGCCAGTTCAGCTTGCTGCAACAATGAACTGATCCAGAAGGGAAACCTAATAACTCTTTGGGTATTTGTACACAGAGTTTTGGATTGAGACAGCTCACTGTGTGATCACGGAGCAAACCTGCTTGAGCAAGGAAAATATTTGGAGTTTGAGAATGGGGAAGAAAGAAGGGATGCTGGAGCATCAGTTTTCCTTGTTGTGCAGTGGTGTCCAAATCCCAACTCTGGCAAAAAGCTGGTCTTTTGGCAAACAAGTGAAGCAATTGGAAGCTTTTCTATGTTTCATTTTGGGAGGGTTAAGCATGGGGGTAAGTCTTCAGGAAGCATTTTACTCAATAACCACTTTTAGTCCATCCTCAAGCAGAAGGTCTGCTTTCTTCAGAACAAATTGTGAAGCGAATAGATCATATGGGAGAGAATCCCATAAAAGCATCTCCACAGGTTTTCCCACTGTCTCCACTGTTCACTTGGAGCATGGATCGATGAGCCTTCACACTGATAGAAGGAGAAGGCCAAATCTTACAGAGAACTCAAGGCCTGCATGGTAGGGTGGGTGCCTTTGAGAGCAAAATTAAGGTAGACCACAGAGGTGTTGTAGAGCAGATTTAACTAGTATCACAGCAAGTCCACCCTAATATATTCTGTAGAATATACAAAGAAACTAATTTTGCTGCACTTTTAATACAGTGATAGTTRCTAAGGCAACACCTTTATTAGTACTTTATATCAGCAGTATATATAGGAAACACCTGTCATGAACATTAGAGTAATGATACTTTTTCTCAAGCATGAAAAAAGAAAAAACTACATTTTGGACAGTGTTGTTAGACTTGATTTTTCTTTTTAAAGTTTCTGGTTCATTGAAATTTTAGCAGTCTATAATAAATTACACTTCTAATCTAGCTGATGGATGGCTCTGCAGTCAAAATGTGAAGAAATGTTGAATGGAAATACAGCTACCCTAATTCTTGTTTTCTGTCTCTAGGAAGCCTTGGAATCATGCCAGACCCGGGTTTCCAAACTGGAGCTCCATCAGCAAGAGCAGCAAGCACAGCAGTCTGAAACAGTTAATGCCAAAGTGCTCCTGGGGAAGTGTATAAATGTTATCCTGGCCTTCATGACTGTCATCTTAGTGTGCGTTTCTACTATTGCAAAGTTCATTGCTCCTATGATGAAGAGCCGGTTTCATATAATCTGCACTTTTTTTGCAGTGACGCTGCTGGCAATATTTTGTAAAAACTGGGATCATATTATTTGTGCTATAGAAAGGATGATTATACCAAGATGAAGCTGTTGGACTGTTGCTTTTTTTTTTTTTTTTTTTTTTTCCCCTTTTTTTTCCCCTCCCTGTTTTTTAAGCACTGTGTNGGATCATATTATTTGTGCTATAGAAAGGATGATTATACTTTTATTAAGCTTTTTTACTGTTTTTTTTTTTTTTTTTTTTTTCTTTTTCCCCTTTTTTTCCCCTCCCTGTTTTTTAAGCACTGTGTGTATACAAATTCTGGTGTAAATATATAAAAGTATACCTGTTGGCAGTCAGTTGCCTGTTCAATCTGATTTTGTCTAACTGGCTGTATCTGTGATGAACTGCTCACTCAAGTCAGTCTTCTGTCTTAATCCAAAAGGTTTTCCACATTCCAAACCCACACCCACAAAAGAAGGTATGATGGCCTGGGAGGGATCGCAGCAACCATAAATTCAGGTGTGCTTTTCACTAGGTCAGAGTGCAAAGAGCGTGATCAGGAGGGAGTGCCATAATGTGTATCCGCTCTGTTAGAATGATCAACTAATTTTCTCTCTGAATCCACCTAGAGTGATAAGCCAAACTATGCAGTCATGTGTATTGATAGTTCTAGATTCTAAATTAATGGGTATTTGAGTTTTCAGGACTAACAAAAATTGATGCTTSTGCTGGTAACTTTTTGCACAGAGTTTGTTTGTAAATGAGACCAGTGATGGCTACTGACCACTTCCTGTCCTGGCACTATTCCTTATTGCATTCAGGAAACACATACATGTGGCATAAGACTTCCAAAGATGGACTGAATTGAATAATGAGATCCCCAGGCAACTTTGTAAAGGAGAAAAAAAATGAGTAACTGGTAGCACCAAAGCACTCACTTGTTTCAAGCTGTGCAACCTTGAAGGAGAAAGAAGTACATGGAAAGGCAACATTGAGGTTAGACTTTGTTAGCACTGAATTGTTGGGTGTTCAGACTGAATGCAAAGCATACAGGTGGTGGGACCCTGGGTACAGTGGATTTCTTTCTTCTGTCAGATTAAAGGATGTGGCAGAAACACACGGGAACAGCTTCTTAGGTGGAGCAGGGAGTTAAACTTCTGTAAATATATGAACTGCAGACATTCTCAACAAACATTCCTGAAAATAATGTATTAACATGCACTACCACTACTAGGAGACAGGTCTGGGTTTGTTTTCCCACTGGAATTAATTTTCCTTGATTTAAGAACTGCAGAAAAAAATTTTCCTGAAACCCACTTGGCTTTCAGCCAAGATTTTAGTGTGTTAAAAATAAACAAACAAAAAAAATAAAAAAAAACAAACCACCCCAACCAGAATTCTTCTCCACTCTCCATTAAGTGAAAAAACAGTGTCTCCAATTTGATGTTCAGTGTTAATACTGTGAAAATAATTGTCATTTCATATTTTCAGTTGCAGCATTTTCTATGCTGGTATTATGGGAGGGAGGGAGTATATTTCTTTTTAATCAAGTGCAATAGTTGGTATAGAAGTTGTGAAGACCTTATTTTGAGGAAAGGGAGTGGRTGAGGGGAGGGGAGGGAAGAACATTGACATTTTACCACAATCAGATAAACAGTGAATAGTTACTATTTGTGGCTTCAGGAGCTGAAGAAAGRACAGAATTAACTTAATAAACAATGATGCAACTCAGCATTTAGAAAATTCAATTAAAATACTTACAAATATTTAAAGAATTCTTTATATGTGCTATGTCTTTGAACAGAGGATCAGGAAAGACTGTGCTGTTTTGCAGTCACCGGAAATGGATCAGATCAGGCACACCCATGTTATCCTAACCCAGCCCTACCTCATCTTAAGAGGGAAGTGGAGTGGAAACCAAAACCAAACAAACAAGAGCCCAAACAAGGCCTGGTTCTGATCCCAAGAATGCCATGACTGTGCATGGTGTTTACTAGTCGTCTATATTAYAATCTCCATTCTTATCACCTTGCACAGCCAACTCCTGTATTGGTCTCTTGAGAAAATAGTTAGTTTAGCATTTTGTTAAATGGGTTCAGAAGAGTAGATGTGCAAGAAAGGAATATCATGTGTTTTTGTAAGAAAGCCGATTGCATGATTATATCTTTAAATAATCCTCCCATTTCTACTTTATATAGTTGAAATGTTACATCAAGTAGCCTCAAGGATAGGCAGGAAAAGGTTAGTATTTCTCTTATAACAAAGGAAGTTGGTGTGGTACAACTTTGGAATGTGAAGGCTTCTGCTCCAAGGGCATCCTATTACAATTCTGGAAGATGAGCTCAGTGCAAAATGAGGGTAGAATCTAAAATTGATGGTTCTAGGTTCTATAAAAGATGTCTCACTGTCTTGACAGAATCTGACTGGGCCCAAATTGGAAACAGGAAGGTCTTCCATTTCCATATTGGCTTTACATCTGGCAGAAAAACTCTCAAGGCTGCATAATGTTAGTTGTGTAAATTAAAACAACCTAATTGGTGAATGGGGGCATCGTTTCTCTAAGTTATTTTCTCTGATGGATTTAAATCACTGGAGGATATAACAGGCATCAAGAAAATAATTTAAAAAAATAAAACAAAGGGCAAAAGCTTGCTTTTGAGTGAAACTATTACAGTTTGACACAGAGTGAGACTGCAAGGGCAAGAGCTCTACCATTTGCAAGTCCATCCAACAGGGAGGGGAGATCTCAGRTCTCCCATCCTGCCTCTGCCCTCCCATTTCCTACCTTGTGCTAACACTTGTATGTGGTGAAGTCTTCCATAGGCCATGTTAGCTCACTAGACTGGAAGAAAAACCTGGTGAAAGATGGTTCTCCACATCTAAAGACTAAAAGGACTGGTAGGAAGCTCTTGAGTATGAAGCAGGATTTTAAGGGAGATGAGCATTTTTCTTCTTGTTGCAGTAAATCATCAGCTACCCCTAAAACTGGGCTCCAGGCAGAATCTTTGCAGAATGTTGGGGCAGCTAGAAAATTCCTAGATTTTTCCTACAGGGAACAGATCTAAAAAGCACCAGGATGTGGTGGGACAGGTAGTTATCTGTGTCTACACTCAGAATCAAGAGAAGGTTGGTGTCTGAGCCCCCCATGGCTGATGCCTCTACCACAGGCTTCAGTATCAGTATAACATCCCCCCTTTAGGCTGGGATTATCTGTTATGCATTAGTGTGTGTATCTGGCCTGCAGTCTGAGCTCTGCTTCCTTGGAAAATGTGCCTAGGCCAACCCAAAGGATTGCAGTTCTCCTAATGTGAACTCTGTTCAGCTTCTCAATCAACTGTGTTCCGTCAGGATACAATTTGTTTTTGTATTCTCATAGAACACATCAGACAGGATACTCCTTACACCTACTTATCATGAGCCTCTAAAACACTCCCACACAACAAAAAGTTGCCAGACAGTGTCTTTTCTGCTTGGTGCTGCCTGGTAGGCAGTTATTTCACTTCACTTTGATAGTAGTTCTCTGATGGAAAAGCCCTTTAATTAGTTGTTAATACATGTTCTATAGGCTTTTGGAGGCTTTTTGTTCAGAGGTTTCTGGAGATTTAGTTTCTTATGAAAGTTAGCACAATTTTCCTGATTTCTCCCATTTCAGAATTCAGGACTAAATGAGATTTCCTCTAAAACTTGCCTAATGGAATTCCCTCTGTTATCTTCAACTATAATTCCATTATTGTTGAACATCCAATTTGTGATTGGCAGGACTGAACAAGACCCTGTTTAAATTCCTTCTTCTTTCTGCTTTACATTATATTTATTCATTCAACTTCTTATTTTATTGCACTCCTGTGATGTCTACTTGTTCTGAATTCTTAGAGAGGCACTAAAAATTCTCACAGCATTTTAGTTTAATATAAAAATGTTTGTTATGAAGTGCCTCTGCTACAGGACATCYGTTAATATAGATCTGATATCTGCTCTCCAGTAGGATATTTAAAAGCCAATGGTTTTCTTTGAACAAATCATGACTTTATTGGGGGAATAGGTGAAGACAATTTGCTGTAGGAAAGATACGTGATCCGCCAACCAGAAGTTGAAGCTAGGAAAATTCAATGTAAGCATAAGCTTCAGTTTTGCAATCATAAGCGGTGCCAACTAATTATTAGCTACTGAATACCACAATATGTAATAAACAAGGACCCCAACATTTGAAGCGGAATGTGGCTGTTGAAAAAGGAATCAGTTCAGGCTTACATCTGATAAAAAGTTAACTGCATAATAATAGCTAGTGCTTTCTGAAATCAAAATCATTGAACAAGAAATTCAGTAAAGAAAAAAGAAAACACAGAAGCTTGTGCTTCATTTAGGTGGTACGARAGCAAATTTTCTTGTTTGTTTGTTTTCATTTTGGGAAACCAAGTTCCTTTCCGCTGTGATAGAGACATTGTACTTCTGGATTCAATGATACAACAGAAGATAAACACAGATTATTGTAATTAAGCACTTTAATTTTGGTAACAGAATTTAATCCCTTCTGGAAGTCCATCTAGGACTAGCAATCARGCAAATTTATTCTCCACTTTTTTTAATCAAGCAAATATTTATCTGCTTTCTTCATTTACCATCATGCCAGAACATGGCCTTTAATTATATTACTTCCCTTTAAAGTACAGGAGATTATAACAGACTTGTTTTCAGATAAAGTTGGAATGGCCTCTCTGATGCTAAGTAGAATCCTGCACAAAAATCAAACAATTTTCTATTGCAACAGTGAAAGAGAACAGAAAGTTTTATTTTAGTCAATGGAATTGCTTATTTTYCCTGAAAAAGCCAACTGAGATGATGCTTTATATAAGGACTGCATGAGGCCGAGTCAAACTGTCCTGTACGGTTGATTTGCTGTACGTTTAGCATATTAAGCTGTGCTGTTGGAAAGTTTTGCACAAAGTCACCTTTCTTTTTTTCCCCAGGGAATCTGGGTCTGGTAGTATCAAGGTGTACCAAAAATTGTCTGCTTTTATTGACTAATTGTCTCAGTGTGTGACCTGCAATGTTTCTCATACTATTTCCATTTTGTGCAGCACTGTGGAAAGATGCAACTATGAAGATGTAATTTTTGTATATTTGGTTGTGAAGTCA